AATATATATATTAATATTAAGACATTCAATCATCATAGTATGTTAGATATTTTATGTTAGACAGCGTCATTCAAAGAATTTATTGCTCAGAAGCTAAAAATTATTCGATTCACTTCGTCAGGAAATGAATATGTAAAATCAGAAATTTTTATGAGTTATAAATATTTCTAGCTGATTAGCTATAATTGAAGTTCAGCATAGTATATTTGCGCCTGAATGACCGTCGTTAAGAGAACTTTGAAGGGCAATAGAATCATTATAAGTATAAATCATGCAATTAGTACTTAGTACTAATAGGGAAACAAAAACTATTCCTACTTTAATATTGGTATATATGTTCTACCCACAGTAATTTCACCAGGGTTTGAAACTCTACAGAATTAAACACTACTCCACATAAAATTTGTCCTATACAAAAATTTAATTAAATCAATTTTACCGTATATGTTAAGTAAAAAACATAAATAGTACAATTTCCTCTAAGCATAGCCAAACTCTTGACTAAACCTTGATTTATTTTTAAACACATTTTCATATTCTCTCTTTCTTTAATTCAACTCGAATTTAACAATATTTCCGGATGACAGGTAATCTAGTGCAGACAGAGTACAAAGTAAACTTTAATTCATAAAAAGATTTACTAATCCAATCGAGCTAGCCCAATAATCTAGATCGTAAATAATTATCGATTATGGATAGATTATCAGATCACATGGTCTATTAAAATTGCATTATAAAGTTATATTGCTAAACCGACTCACTGACTAGAGTCAAGTGAGTTATTTATTGCATTTTATAAACAACAAATTAGTTAAGAACGTAGTAGGCATTCTGGATCTTGACGATCCAGTCGATGTAGGCGGAAACTCTGGTATAGACTGAGGGCTGGTTGGCCAAGCCGCAGGGGAAGTAGCCCCAGGAAACGACTCCAATCAGTTCAGAGGGAGCATTCTTCCGCTCGACGACCAGGGGGCCGCCGGAGTCGCCATTGCAGGCAGATTTGCTTTGCTGCAGGGAATCGGAGCAGACATTGGATGGAGCCAGGGGGGCATCCTCGGGCAACACAGCCTTGCACTCTTCGTAGTTCAGAATCTGTGTGGTAAGGGTCATCAGAGTCTTGGCACCCGAGAATATGTAGGATTTTGGCTGGCCCCAACCGTACAGGTGGGTCTCGCCCTCGTGGATTTCCTCGCGGCTGGGCAGGGCAGCTGGGCTGACCCACTCGTTGAACTCGAAGGGTTCGCTGACGTGCAGGACGGCGATGTCGAAGGGACCCACACCGCCAGTGTATTGCTCATGGACGCGACCAAAGTCAATTTGACGGTGCTGGGTGCGCTCATCGACCTCGGCGCGCTTGTGGAGACCGGCGATCACTCCCATGCCAACGGGGTTGGAGACGCAATGTGCAGCAGTGACGATCCATTCCTTGTTCACGATGGTTCCTCCGCAGATGTGCGCGTGCTTCTCGAATTTGCTGCTCAAGGAGATAATGTAGGGCGCGGCGTGGGGTTCAGCTTCAGTGCCGTTGATGACAAAGCCAGTGGGAAAACTGGGAACCAACTTGATCAAGTTGTCGGTCAGCTTGCCGGCCTGGGCGCTGGCAGCCACCAGGGCAAGAAGGGTAAAAGCGAGCACCTTCATTCTGTTTGAAGCAATGGACACTGAATGATGAAATCGTGAATATTCCTTGGCTTTATATAGGTGATATTGCTTTTAATGGCAATCTTATCTGGCGATTAGAGAATGGATTTATGAAAACGATTTCACTTTCTGCTAATAATAAGTTTTTATGGTCAAATAAGCCAAAAATTACGCTAATTCAATGCGGCCTGATAAGGAATGTGTTAAGCCCAACCAAAGCCAAAGCTGCTATACGTTTTACATTTACAGCTTTGATAATTGCCATATTTTTAGCTTGCGTAATGTGTTCTATACAAGGCGTTGACAAGCCACGCGTGCCAGGTGGATTCGCCTCACCTCCCCGTACAAAAGGGCGCTAAAAATATATGGATACATACGTGTAACATGTATATGGGATATTGGTATGGGATGGGGTTGCAAGTCTATAAAGGGATGCGCGTCCTTGGCGGGCATACATAAAAGAGTGGACAATGTCCAAGCTGCAATGCCTGCGGCAGATGGCGGCCATTTTACGGGCTTAGCCAATTAAAAGAAAATTTTACGCCGCTGCGGGCTTTGGACTTTGTGTAACCGCACACACACACACACACACACAACGTACGCACCGAATTGTGTACACATTAAAACAACAAGAGGGGAAAACATGGAGCATGTGGCATATATGCCACTTTTAAGTCCAGTTAAACAATGATAATAAAACTCAGGCCAGACACAGAGAATCCTCTAATTAGCGTCTGGCTCGAATGCGGCCATTGTGTAATTATAGAGCAAATCTTTACAAGCTCTTTGCAATTAAATTAATCTATTAAATGCTATATCTAATACAGAAATAATTAGCTTAATATCAAGATCCAATTAACTTTCTAATTGTTGTCTAACTTGAAAGCTAAAAATAAGCCTTTACTGGTATCGGGGATATTTAATGTGGGAACTGCTTACCTTGTAAACGATGTAAGACTTGAAAGAAATATTTAACAAGAATTATAGGCTGAAAAATTTAATAGATGTTGGACTTTTATATACTCTAAACAAGTATGATCCAAGATTGTGAAAAATAAAAGATAATATTTATTAAAGTAGGTTTACAGTTATTCAATAAGTCTATTTCATTTCACATCCTGAATGAATCTAATATATAAAACTTGTTGCCTTTGAAGCTAAAATATTTAAGAGTATTCCAATATTATTTATGTGCATAGCATTGCAATTCTCATACCGAATCCTTATTGATGGAGCTCTTAAAAGTAGCCCATAAGGCATCAAGGTGTTAAATGCCTAGGGAAATTCTCTCATGCATGCTTACTAAAGAGAAAAATCAATATATATACTTGAAATATTGGACACTTTATCATCTGTAAGCTCATGCTGCCCGCTCTCCCACAATCATTCTGCGATAACACTAATCACTCTTGTTATACTCGTCGCTTATCGGAAAGCTCAACTGGACGCCTAGGTTTATATACGCAGTTTCGAGGGCTTCCGGGACCAGTTCACATTCGGTCCCACACATAACGCTATGTTTACGGTAAAAATTTGTATCGCTCTGCTGCCGCTCTTGGCGCTGGCCAGAGCCAATGCCATTGGCCAGCAGCCGCAGCTGCAGCACCTGCTGTCGGAGCACTATGAGGAGCTGGCCAAGGCGATCAAGGCTGACGAAAAGGGAGTGGAGCCCCGCTTGGTGGAACGCATAATGCAGAAGATAGAGGACGATCTGGCCATGGAAATGTCAGTGCGCATTATAGACGGCTACGATGTGCAGGGCGTGGACAATGCGCCCTATCTCGTCTCACTCAGCCTGACGCCGCTCATCTACAGCCATCAGTGTGCGGGCGCCATCATTGGCAAGCGCTGGGTGCTGACCGCCGGCCATTGCGTGGAGGAGCTGCGCCGCTTCAATGGCGACGTGATTGGCATTCCCATCTATGCGGGCCTGTCCAATCGATCGAATGTGAGCGACGCTCAGGTGCGCCTCGTGGACTTTGCGGCGACGCATCGCCAATTCAACGGCGTCGCCGGCAGCGACAACATCGCCCTGCTGCATGTCTCCCAATCGTTCGTCTACTCGAATCGTGTGCAGCAAATCGCGCTGCCGGATCTTGACGAGGACTACAGCAACAAGACGGCTGCCCTCTATGGCTGGGGTCTGACCACAGCTGATGACGACGAGTATTCCAAGAAGCTGCAATATGCATTCGCTCCGCTGCTAAACAGCGAGCAGTGCGCCAAGCAGCTGCCTTCAGATGCGCCGCTCTCGCGGAAACAGGTGTGTGCTCAGGTGAAGGCATGCTATGGCGATGGCGGCAGTCCGTTGGTCTACTGGCCCATCACTGGGCCCGCCGAGCTGGTGGGCCTGGGCTCCTGGAGCTATATGCCCTGCGGCTATGCGAATCGGCCGACGGTGTACACCTCGGTGCCCGCTTACGTCGATTGGATTTACCAAGTGATTAGCGCCTACTACCAGCTGAACTGAGAAGTCCCTAAATTCAACTCGTATCAAAATGATCTTTGCGTAATATATTTGCCACCAATTAAAGCAAACAACAACAATCTAATCTCTATAATTCCTAGATATACTTAATGCTGCTCTATCAGTATTGCCGATGGTCGATAAGCTATATTTTGATTGTTCCATGTGTTGGATCGCACATGACCAATCGTAAATTCTAAGCAATGTAACTGTCGTGAGTTAAGGGCGTTTCAATAGAATTTCGCATATAGAACCCAAAACCCATTGAAATTGGAATATCTATGACTGATGGTATTGTGAAAATGTTTGTAAGAGGCAGATAGAGACACATATCTCATAACAAATATATATATAGAGTATATTCTTCTTCTTAAGGAATATACATATGTAAGTATATATATCATCTGTGCATCCATATGAAGAGATCTCGTACACCCCAAATCTTAGAAACTTCAAATCATAAATGTATATTCGAGTATACCATACGGTGTACGAGCCTGTAATTTTTTCCGATAAATATTTATTGTATTTATCCTATTTATCGATTATAATCGATATTTAGTGTAGTTTTTAAGCGTAGTTTTACTGTGTAGATCTTTGTATTTAACACAATTGGAAACCTACCCCTCAATACTCAATAATTACAATCTAAAAATTTAATATCGAAAATCAATAGATTGGAAATTTATTACAGAGTTCGGGGTATTTCCTAGTCAAGTAGTCCCCACTAGAACCATCTTACTTGCTCTACATCAATCTTAATTTGAGCTAAGCTACGAGTCAGGCCAAATGACGTCCCCAACAACGTTTGACAGCTGCAGCCGTGCTGTGGGCTGGGCTGGGTTTTGTTCGAGTGTGCCACTCGGCGTATGCTTAATAAGTGCCTGGGTAAAACTTTAAACCAACACAGCAGCAACTCGAGCAGCTAGTTTTGAAGTGCTCAACAAACTTGCACAGGTGACAAGCGTGGAGGATGTCTACGTTTTTATGACATCATTTGCATGTTGTTTGAAGTTGCAGCTGTCGAAGGTTCTAACATATGAAATATGCAGAGAGAGAAAGAGAGAGAGAGAGTATTATTTGAAGGAAGCTCTGGAGACTCTTGAGCAACTAATTAACATTTGACTTTGAGCTATTTGAAGTATGCAACTGGATGCAAAGGGGATTCCCAAGGAATCATCTGTGTTATATCATCAGTATAATGTTCATATAGATAAGCATCTTTACAGGGTATTATCCAGTCAACTGCTGCACACAAATATATTTATTTCAATAGTTTAGGAATGTGAGAAAAGGGATCAAGAAATCCCACACGCAACGGTAGCAGTAGCAGCAGCAACAGCTGGATAATCCCAAATAGCATTTGCATAGTCCCCAAAGCAGTTGACGCTTTGCGTATGGGCAACTGTAACTCGCACTTGCCGGCTTTATTGGCAGGCCCCTAAGCATGATTGACAACACAATGTGCACAGGACTGGAGATGTATCTATATCTGTATTTGTAGCTGTATTTCTATATCTGTCTTCAACTGTAAATGCGGCACATCTGCCTACGGAATTATCCCTTTTTTGTGGTGGCGCCTAACCAACAAAACCAAGTGCCTCCCAAAATGTCTGTAGACAGACATCTCTATGTCACAATATTAAGGGCAGGGGTGAACGAAAAACGAAAAGCACAGACAGGCTGTTACATCAATTGAATTATGCATGTAATCGCTCTTAGCCCAAACAAGCTAGCACATAGGAGAGAGAAAAAGATGGAGAATGTGAGATATTGAATCTGTCGCCTCAACAGTTTTTCAGTTACAAGCATGAATTTCCCATTTCTCACTCAATTTACAGGGATATTCGACAATTCACTTGGCTATTTATGCTTGTGCCAGTGTTGGTTAACACTCAACTTTGGCCATTGTATTGTAATGAACGATCGGGCCGGGATAGCGCGTAGCTTAATTAGTTAAAAGTAATTAGACAAACAGCGCAAACAATATAAAAGTCTCGTGCTCAAGTATCGAAATATTCGTTTTACGCGGGGTTAAATTTGTAGTCCAATTAGCGGAGCGCAACCCTTTTCGAATGCCAGCCCAAAAATCTGCAGAAAATATGCGCTTAATTGAATATAAATGTGGCAGTAGGGGATGGCTTGGGCTCGCTGACCAAACAGAAGGAAATGAACCGAAGCCATAGTCGAGTCCCAAATGACCCCCAAATGCCCCCAGAGCAAAAATTTGAACTGCAAGTTAATGTTTTCAATATCAATTATTAGTAGAGAGTCGGTCGGTTAGTTGTTGGGGCGAGTAGAATTCCCCAAAGTGAAATGGGGGCCACTTTGCCACCTTTCTGAGTTCATTAAACCGACCCCAACAAAGGATAATGAACTGGCGAAACAGCTGCAAATTCAATTTGCTCATTAAGACTATTTCAATGATCATCAATTCTCGACCAAAAATAACACTTATTCCCTTAAAGTAATGGTCATATTTCATGGGTCGCAGTTGAGGGCACGATACAAAATCGATTATAGAAATATTGAATCGAGCAAAAAGACTTGGCAATTTGAGCTTAGCGTGCTCATAGACCTAAGTGCATAATATTCTTTACCTTTTTTTATTTATATAGCTATCATTCATATTTGTTGGTCTAAAAGTTAGCTGAAGTAACTTATATATATATTATAATAATCTTGATATTTTATCTATTTGTTAACTGAAGTAACTTATATTATTTATACTTACTTACCTTCTATGCTCTATCTTACATAACATGCCATGCATCACTTAAGCTTACATATTTTGAAATATCTCGATTTATGCCTTTTGCCATAAAACTTTAATAGATGGCATAAAAGTTTCGTCGTAATTTTTTTGTTCTAGAAACGCAAATATCTCTAGCAATTTCTATTTAATTTTGTTGAAATAGTAAATTTTCATTTTGCACTCATCAAAATGTTACAAGTTCTTTGCTGCATGAATGGTTTTAGGTCGAACAAATATCTTAGATATATGGCAATCTTTGAAACCCCGTCAATTTATGTCAAACAGGAATGTAAAGCTATCTTGATGATTTTATTTAAGGTTAAGGGTCTAAATAATGTGAATATTTATAATTTAATGCTTGCTGTAAATAAGACAATTGTAATAAAATATATAAAATATATTTTTCACTATTTAAATAATGTGTAACTTTTGTAATTACAGTAAAACAAAACAAAACAAAAAATAATAAAAGTTTTTGTCAATACTTTAGGTCGCTCTTGTCAAGCTTAAGTTTTATTTTATAGTTTTAAATTAAATTGAAATTTTGCTTTTAAGCCGATTGAAGCTTAAGTAACTTTCAACCTTTCATAACAGATTTTATTTAAGACAAGCTTGAAAGTTGAAAAATTAAAAAAATATATATATTTTCGCACAAAATTTTGCCTAGTCCTTTACTTGTATTAAATGTATTTGTTTCTCTATATATATTTCTATGTATATTGCACAAGAAATAAAATCTTTAAAGACTTTCATGACATTGAAAGCGGAGCTGAGTTGAGATGGCAACAAGTGCCGAAAATATTTGAATTTTCATTGGGGCAAACACATATTTAGTCTATGATATATGCTTTGTAATTGTTAATGAGTGTTTATATCTTACGCACCATTTAACGGCTTTTCAAGTAGGAAGATTCCAAGAAAACTGAAATATTGCTGCTCTCGGATGGATGCCGTGCACAATGCTCAAATGCTTCGTGGCATCTTGTTTTGCATATAATATATGGAAAACAAAAACAACCGAAAAAAAAAAAAAAAACAAACCAAAAGAAAAAATGAAATAAAATAAAATATTTCATTTTTGGCTTGCGTTGTGCGTTCTATCTGAGCGCATCTGTTTGCCATTGCCGAGCCGGCAGCTGGGGCCAGCATAAGAGAATTTCGCATTCTTTTCTTTGGTTCTTATGAATGAATGCTAAAATATTTATGGCAGTCAGCGGTCGAGGAGCAGACGGCGGTGGAGGTGGACTGACGACACGGGGCACATTTTACAGGGCCATTTAATTTGACTTAAATAATAAGCAGATATGACTTTCTTCGTTCTGGCCATTTTGCGGGCGATTGGAAAGTAAAATTCGTTGCAATAAATTCATAAGTCTCGACCAAGTTGAATGAACTGAGGGCGCTCTGGAGAATGTTTTCTTTTTTAGCGCAATAATAAATGTTTTTTTTTTATTATTGCTAAGCTGTTAATGAAAACGGAAAACCTTGCACAGATTTAGCAAAAAGACATATATCATAAACATATATACTTGTATTCATTTCCTTGTTCTATTCCAATTTCAGGATTCAGGCAGCGGGACACCGGTGACAATGCGAGTGGATGCCAAGGGCTTCTTTCTGTATTGGGTTGATCAAAACAATGAGCTCGACATCCTGGACATTGCCACAATTCGTGATGTGCGCACGGGACAGTATGCCAAAAAGCCAAAAGTGAGTATATAATAGATTTGATATATCATTATATATTAGCTGTCATCACAGTTACATTCGCATTCTGGAATTACAATTGAAAAAGCAAATATTAAGTATACGCTGGAGAGGAAGGAAGGAAGAGAATTATATGTGATATACTTGATTTTGATAAGTCACATTTATTTATGCCATTTCATTGTAAAATATTTTCATTCATTATTGATTGGAGTGGGCGAAGTAATAAAAGGGAATCAGTAGGTGTGAGGGGTGAGGCGAGGTAAAGCAGACAATTTTACAGAGAAAATGTGTGTGGAGTATGGCTATATGTGTCTAAATGTGTGACAACCGAGTAGCACACGAAGCTTACTTTCGAGTCTCAAATTCCAATTAAATATGTTTTTCGTTTTAAATTCTTCTATGGGAAATCTTGAGAGTTCAAATAGCAGTTCAAAGGTTTCTTGTGTGTACTTAAAAAAGAATTTTGTCAAGCGTTGGAAATAAAAATAGGAAATAAATAAATTATATAAATTCTTCATTTATATAATATCTTTAGAACACATCTGTCCTTAAATTGAAGAACGAATTTACAATTTTTCAATTTAATAAGGCATGGCAATTAGTTTAAGTACATACTGATATATTATACATCAATCTTGACACGCAACCTAATTAATTGCAATCGCGAAGGGTATCAAACAGATGGCATGCCAAAATTCATTTGATCTCGTGCGATACTTGAAGCATTCCTTGTTGAATTTTCGTCTGTTTGTTTGTAAATAAAAAATATTGGCAACATTAATTATTCTGACCATTCAACGAACGGTCCGAAATGTTTGTTTGTATATTTGCGCTAGGTCGGCTGCGTACATTCGAGCGAAGCTATTCGCAAAACGAGCTAATAAAAATTGCTTTGACTTTAGCGATTGAAATCCAATTATAGGCTAAGGCAAGAGAGCCACGCAAACAAGCTCTATTCTATTCTATTCTATTCTATGCTGTTCAGGTGGGCACGCATAATCCACAATTTATATAGAGCATGAACATATGTATAGATTTATATATGTTATTCTTGTTGTTTTTTTTTTTCCTTAGCCAGGTCACGTGCGTTATGTTCAGGTTTTTGGCGCCGGCAAGCAAACAAAAACAAATGCGACTCGTATGTGTTAGCCTCTGGTTGGCATTGTTTTGTGTCGCCATATTAGATGCTCCGTTTCTTCTTCTCGTTCCATTGGCTTGCCTTGCTGTTATTTCCTTAGCGCACAATATGTGTGCGTGTGCGTTTGTTTGTGTGTGCGTATGTCACTTCTTGGTCGATTCACACAATTTTGTTTTCATGGCACAAACGCTTATTGTGTGTACTTAGTGTTTCACGCGAGTATTGGTGTGAGTGTGATTGTGGGTATGGGTGTGGGTGTGGGTGCGGGTGTTGGCCATGTCCAGATATCTGTGTATGTGTGTGTGTGTGTGTGACCAAATACATTTATCATTGCAATGACACGGCAACATGACTGTGATCCTACACCCAAGCTCGCACAACTTTTTGCAAAGAATTGAACGTAAAAAGCATTTTACGTAACGTTTGCAAAAGGAAGCGCCCGAACAGGGACGGACTGATTCAACCAGCCGGCAAGCGTATCCTGCCAGCGGCAAATAGGAAACGCCAACAACAATGAATCTAACAAAAAAGAGCAGCAACAAAGCGAGCATTCGACTTTTTGTTCTGACTTTTCATGACTTACTAAGCAAAAAAAAAAAAAAAAAACCCTGTCCCACAGTTGTGTTTTTAAAGTCCTTCAGCCTTAGTCTGTCCCACTTTCAAATGCTGCTCCTCACATGACAGCGCCCTTTTCTTGTGGCAGCTGCTGGAAGTGCATATTTAACCTGGGTCAATGGGGCCAGGCATTTGATGGGCGTCGCGTATAATTCATATGTATGTGCCAGACCCACCAGACACTCGTGGCTGACTGGCCAACCCCTAGGCTAGGCGCTGCCCACCCACAACCCCAATCGTTGGCCTCTTATCAAAGGCAAACGAGCTGCGTTTTGGCCTCGCACTGGACAGCGAAATTTTTGCACTAATGAAATGCAGCGAGCGGAGAAATGAAGCGAGCAGCTAAATGAGTCTACGCCAAAGTATGAGAGTTGGCCGCATGCCACGCCCACTGCTGCTCAATTGTATATATGCGATGATTAACTCGAAAAGTTGAAAAAATAAAAGCAAATGGGGCCTTCATATGTTGCAGTCCATTTAAGTCTGCATTACAACATATGCTAAAAAACAAGCCACAACGTTTGTCTACTACCCCATTTAACCCTTTTTCATTACATTTCGAGTATATGTGTGTGTGTGTTCGCACTTATATGCGCTTGTATGTGGGCTTGTGTCCAGAGGGCGTGCCTGTTGTCTTTTTTTTGGCGCACGTTGATTAAAAATGTTCTTTTAATGCCCTATCGAGAGAGTCTTCTATTTAGCCATTAAAATTGTGGAGACACTTTAAATATTATAACTGATAAATCTATAAATAAAATCTCTTCAAATGGAAAATGGAAAAATAACAAAGATTATTCAGTTATAATTGATAAAAACTATATAGAACCATATATATTATAATTATTTTTAATCAGTTTGTTATCTCTAATGTTTATACGAAAATAAGAGCTATTAAATATTTCAGCAATTGCAAATTTAATGGATAATTAGATAATCCCAAGTTAATGAACACCCTATTAACTATTAATTACTGAATATTAGAACACTCATAAAAATAATTGCTGATTAGATAATCAGCTGAGTAGATAATCATAGACTAAGTATGGTATGTAAGAATTATTTTTAATTTCGTATGGTATATATTTAACATATTTCTTACATATCATTCTTATATACTTGGTTAGGGCATTCAATTCGCAGCAATTCAAAGCAAATTTTCTGTCGTACTTTTGTTACATTGATATGAACTGGAATGCGATTTTATGAAAATACGCTGAAGCGAAAAAGAAATGCGACTCGGACACGGTTAAAGAGTTTTCCTTTTTTGTCTGCTCCCAAATGAATTATGTAATAGTCTCGATGTATAGGCAAAAGAGCATTACAAATGTACTAGTGGCCGTCCGAAAAAAGGTAGTCCCAATTTTTGCTTAGCTGCAAACCTTATCAAGCATTCGCAACTTTCATAATTAATTTTTGACCTTTTCCCCGGCGTCTGTTGCGCTGTCACACGTCACAAGTTGTATGAARTTAAAAGTATGACATACATACATATTTATGACTAGACAAATAGAGAAGCAAAGCTATATTTATAGTCATTCTGAATGTTAATTCATGGAAAAGAAAAGTTTATTTTCTTTAATTATGTAACTGTTTGCGTTGCGCTCAGGAGTGACTTCATCTCCCCGTGCTTGCTTTTAAGTTATTATGAGCTCACTCTGCTCCCCGCTGATATCCCTATTAAATTTCGTGTCAGACCTTTACCCCTAGTCTAGTCCATGTATAAACTTTGATTCCACTTTCATCACTTACCGTGTGGGCCAAAGATCTTATCTTCGCCGCAACCTTGAATTACTACGCGCTCCGAGGGTCTTCTGCAGCATTTGCCGTAGATGGTGCACGGCGGAATTTCATCTTTATTCTTCTCAAAGCAGGACACCAGATTTGAATAGAGCTCTTCAAATGTTCTCGGCTCGTCATCTTGCTCTTCGGCCATCGCCTCCTCTAGCTCCGTCTCCAGGTCGAATTCCACATCGTACGGCAACGTATCTTCCTTGTACTTCATCCATTGGTAGTACGTGCACATGTTATCCGGCAGACCACACTGCACATCGCAGTACTGGTGATTGCGTCGGAGGCCGTGCTTTGGCTTTTTGGGTGGCTTCTCCATGTCGAGGGCCACCTGCAGGGGAATATAGGGTTCGTAGTCGCCGAAATCATCTTCGTACTCATCCTCTGGACAATAAAGTATTCTATGAGAATTCTTGGCGTGCGTCTTCTTGAGCACCGTCGGCATCTTATTGATGGCACAGTGCAAGATATTACGGTTGAGTACATAGGCTCCCTTAGGCTTGGGCACCTTTTCCGGTTTCTTTGGTTTTTTTGACTTCTTGGCCTTTGGATCGATGCCGTTGACCAAATTGAGGGAACTGGTGAGAGCTCGTCTATACTCGACTGCCTCTGGCAGATTGACTTTCGATCCCATGCCATAAAAACTGAGCGAATCTTTGTTCGGAGCTTGCCTCCATATCTCAATGGTGTCAAATCTCTTATCCTTGCCAAAGGGTACCCTGCAGCCCATATCGACAATAGCCTCCGACAAGAAGTTTCCCGATTTTTCATTCGAGCATCGTGATATTGGCGGTCTTATATTGGGATACGTTTCTTTCTTCAGAAATCGGTTCGCCTTGCAGTTCTCTATGCGCATCACATCGTATAGCGTCAATTGAGCATAGTCGAGCTCCTTGCCATCTTCTTCCTCGGAAGACTGATCTTCTTTTCTTTCTGGCTCCTTACTTTGATCCATTTTGGTATATATGTGTATATATGATTAGTCAAGTGCTAAAATCTGTGAAACCTTTATCAGGTTTTTTGAATGGGATTCTCAAATTTGTTATGTTCTCAGTTCAAAACATTTTACCTAATAAGCAAAGCTAGCTCACATGTCGACCCATATCGACATCAGTTGTAGAGGAATAGTCTAAGTAGGCGTCGTTATATACCATCATATCAATTATATCAATCATAGAAAGCAATGGTTTTAGATGTACTTGGGTGTAACTGATAACGCGAAAATGTCTCTGTTTTTATAAATAACAATTAATTTAATTAAAACAAAAATAATAATATAAAAGTATAAAAAAAAAATGTCCTAAAAATGCCTCAATGCCGATTAGCCCTCATCTTTCTTTGGTTTTGCAGACCTTCACATATTTGCCAGCATAGACGATCCTTGAGTGCTTTGACTTTGCAGTGCAGCTCTCTATCCATATGACCGTACGATTTTTGTAGATCTTGTAATGCATCCAGTCGATCAAGATATTCGCCCCACTTGCGGCTTGTGCAGAAGCAACTTTCCTCTTTGATGGGTTCGCATTTGCGCTGTGGTGCGCGATATTCCTTCGGAGCGCAGGCGATTTGCTCTCTATGGCGCATACTGTTGTAGTATTCCCGGAGTTTGCGTCGCTTCTCCTCCTCTTTCAGTTGACTGATCAGCGGTGAATCCGGCTCCCGGTCGCGGCGCTCCATAAAATTGCAAACTACACACTGGCAGTCCTTGCCGCGTGTCTTATTGTATCGTGATACATGAGAGCTCCATTTTCTCTGCACTTTCATATTCTTCTTATATGGTTTTCGTTTTTTCGCCTGATATGTATCGGATTTGTCCGGTGGGAAATTTCTTGAGTTGTCGCCAAAGTAATCGGTGGAGATCATCGAAGAACTAGACATTATGAAACTATGTTGTTTATTGCGAAACTTCACATCGAAGGGTTTTTGTTCAGACGTTAGCATCTTGTTTTTTGTAGAAGCTCTCATTGTGTCCGTTTTGGGTTTTGTCTTAGACTTACCACTACCTCGACTACCACCAGGACCACCACGACTACCACGACCATCTCCTGCACCCTGAGATGTACCCTTAGATGCACGTTTGGGTCCACTATTCGAACTGCCGGTTTTTTCTGTAAGTAGGCTTCTTCGTGCTGCATCGCGTTCGCTGACTTCATCCAAAACTCTTCTCAGCACGCTTCCTTCTGTGCTTAAGCCGGTGTTAGCACCACCAGAAGCAATGTCGCCTGCACCGCCAATCTCAGTGGCACCACTTAAATCAGGCATGAAACCATGCTGAGAGGATCCCTTGCAGGTCTTGTACGCTTCATAAAGAGAATCTTTGTGGGCATTTCGTTGAAAGCAAGTGATCAGCTTCGAGAAGAGTTCATCATAGTCCTTTGGCTCCGATTCAATTTCCTTCTCCAATTTTTCCATTTCCTTCCGGTAGGCGAGCTCATACGCAGATTCTTTTTTCGGTTCCATGCATTCATAGTTGATCAGCTCGCCCTTTGGCTGTTTTTGTCGGCGCCTTAAAGGGGTCGACTTCGGGCAACGTTTCGCCGCACCGGTCTTTTTCTTACCAATCAGAGTCTCGCTTTGGAAAAAGGGCTTGACATTTGCAAACGAACGGGGACAATGGAGCCAACTGATTGCTTTGGTTAAATTAAGCGAAGCCATGTTATCAACTTTGGCCTTTAATTCGGTTCGATTAAGTACATAGGGTTGATGCCCTGGCGTAGATGGCATAGTTGCAACAGTTGGAGTCCTCAATGGTTTTTCCTTGACTTCTGGTGGTTTTACTTTGTTGAGACATTTCTCAATGACCTGGTTAAAAACGACCGCCTCGGGCTTATTTTTGCCCGCTCCTACGCCATAGTACCCCAAAGTATCCTTGTTGGGGATACGTCTCCAAACATCCACAATATCATCATGATCCATGTGAAATGGTCGTCCAGACCTCTGGCTCGTACCGCCATTGGTAATAGAGAGCTGAGAATCACCTTTCAATACAGGAGTCATTGATACACTGGGATATGTTTCCCATTGCTGAAAATTGGCTGCCTTGCTATTGAGCATCCGCTTGACTTCCCTGGGCGTATTCTTTTTATCCGGAAATGGCTTAGACTTCACACTAGACTTGGCCGAATCGGTTGATTTCTTCTCCTTTCTTTCTACATGATTAGTATCCAATCTATTGATTACGTGTCTGTAGCCGTAATGTTGAATTGCATCCATTAAATATTCTGTTGTGATCTCTGGATAACATTTAGATACTGGCGGCTTGACAGTGGCATATAGTTCGCCCCTGCGAAAAGCAAAGTTCTTGGTGTTTGCCATTTGCTTGGCCGCTTGGAGTGAAAGCTGGTCCGCATTTCGAATGTGTGATTCTTGTTGTCTTCGCATTCTATGAGGTCTCACGTTTTAATAAGACTTGTAAAAGGTTAAGAAAATAATTAATAAAAATCTATAAAAAGGCTACAAGTTTTCCCTAAAACATAACGAAAATTTTGGAATGATTACAGTCTCAAAGTATTACAGAAAGTAAACTGAAAAGTGACATTTGCATTAAACACCCTGTCCATGCACACATTCAGTAGGCGATCAATTCCAGCATGAAGTGACTAGAAAGTATAAATGTCAAAGATGAAATTAGTGTAATGTAGAGATAATGGAAGATGGATTGGTTATAGAGTGGTCTTAAAGGTATATATAAAGGTTCTTCAGTATGTTCTCATTAAATTAAATTGTACCACTATGCCTTCAGTAAATTGGATTTTTTTTATATAAGCGGAGACTTTATATAACTTTACAAGTACATACAACGGTTAGATCTACCTATTAAAGTGATATTCTGTTCCAGTTTACAGAAAAAATATCCGCCATTATTAAAGAAAAAAATCATATACATATATAATGCAAAAATAGTCAAATTATATTTAAACTAAGTAATAATAAACATTTTGAAACATAATAATTGTCACACTAAATGAAATATTTGTACGCCTTTGTGGCTATAGACACTCACATAGGCGACGACTTATGCGCTCCTGAATGTCATTAATGTTAAACAACAATTCATTATTCACGATAGAGTGTTTGGGACCCAGCAACTTTTTCAGATTTTCCATAGCATCTAAGCAGTCGCAATACTCCGCTAACTTTGGATTCGCGCAGAATGTATTGTCGCACTGAATGGCATCGCACTTGTGCTGTGGCGCTGGATATTCGGGCTTGCGATATTTCATATACTCACAGTGGCACATTTGCTTGTAGTAATCGCGCAGTTCCCTTATCTTGTTTTCCCTTTTCATTTGCTGGAGCATTTGCTGTATTAGCGGAGATTCAGTCTCTTCACTGCGACGTTTCAGAAAACTGCATATTTCGCAGGGACACTCAATTCCTCCACTGCCATCCTTGCCCTTGCCATCGCCCTTGCCCTTGCGTTTTTTACGCTTCTTGCGCTTCTTCTTCTTTGTAAGATCATCTGACTCTGAGCTACTTTTCTGCAAATTGCCCAAAGTTTGCCTAGGTGTCATGAAACTACCTCCCCCTTTATCCGGCTCATCTTCTGGAAGTGATATAACTGATTCAATGCTTTTTTTCATCGGTCTGAGTGGACGTTCTTTGGCTGTTTTAGTCTTCTTTACGCTAGACTTTCGTTTAGTCGTTCGTCGCTTTTTATTATCATCAGACGACGAGTCTTCTGAAACAAAGGAAAGTTTCGATCCTCCATCCTTCAATGCATCGATGCACTTCTCATAAGCATCGGTGTGCTCCGGCTTGCCATCATGTTCAAATAATGGAACCAGAACATTGTACAGCTCGTCGTAATCCTTAGGCTGTTTAAATCGCGATTTCCGTGCACTTGGTCTTCCCAGTGTAATGCTTGGCAGTTTACCTTTTCTTGGTAGAATACCCCCCGCGTCAACACCTGGCGGTATATAAAGAGTTTGTCCTAAAGTTCCTGGTCCGACACCGCGTGGTGCGAAACCCCCTCCAGCGCCGTCTGGTGTGAAACCGGGCGGCGCGAGACTGCCTGGTCCGAAACCTCCTTGTCCCATTTGCTGCTGCTTCTTTTTTTCTATTTCCCATTCCACTTCCATTCGCATTTCTTCTTCTAGCTCTTCCATCTCTTTTTTAAACCTCTCTTCATATGATTTTTGATCTTCTTTATATTTCATCCACTCCAGCTGTGTGCATGTATTTTCGGGAATATGACATTGAAGTTCGCAGTACTTGTCTTTCTGTTTTAAGTCTTGCTTAGACTTTCCAGGTAGTTTTTCCATATCAAGGGCTTTTTCGATCGGAAAATGAGGCTCAGTAGGTGGAAAGGCCTGCTCCCTGTCGCGGGGACAATACACCCATCGAAGGGCACCCACAGCACTTACAGCCTCCTGAACAGTGGGCATTTTGCGGACTTTAACAGTAAGCTTTGGACGGTTGAGAACAGCGTATCCGGGTGGCTCCACTACTTTGTCAGGTGGTGGTTTTTCAGGCTCCTTTGGCTTCGGCGGTTCCGGCGGATTGACCTTTTTAAGAGACTCAGCAATTGCTTGGTTAAACAAAACCGCCTCCGGCTTGTGAATGCCCGTGCCCACGCCGTAGTAGCCCAACGATTCCTTATTTGGGCTTCGTCTCCAGACCTCCACAACGTCATCCTTCTCCATGTCGAAATGGCGCTCACATCCACCTTCTCTAAGGCTATCCATCAAATACTCTGCTGTTAAAGCAGGACAGCACTGGGATACCGGAGGTCTAATAGACGGATAAATCTCGTCATCACGATAGTCAGCCGGCTTGCAATTAAGCATTCGCATCAGATCGTATGGGGTAAGCTTGCTATAGTCAAGGTTTCTCTTTTGTAGCTTTATTTGACTGCAGACGTATTTATTCGATGGGCGGGGCATGTCAACTCTTTTTTGAGTGACCACATTCTCTACTGGTGCGGCTTTTTTGTTGGAGTACAGTTTGGGGTCGAATGGCTTACAGCCTGTATTTTCAGCCACGTTGGCTATCCACTTTTCTGAGAATGCGGGACGACACCGAGAYAGCGGGGGCCTWATGCTGGGATACMTTTCCCCTTGTCTAAACGTATASGACTTGCAGTTCTGCAAGCGCATAGCATCGTATGCAGTAACATTAGCTGCATCCATATCGAGTGTTCCWTGCTTTTTGGACATTCTTTTCGGTAAAATTTGTCAATTTATAACATGAAAAATTTGTGAAATATTAATAATAGTATACAGTTTTTGTCAAGACAACACAATAAAATTTTGTTAGTATCACATTCAAAACAATTTAGAAACTAAAATAAATACTAACGAGCGAAGAAGTCTTGGAAATTTGAACTATCGAAGTAGGCTGTGATTAAAGCAAATTGAAATGTCTCCGCCTGCTGCATTCCCACAAACCGAAAACCCAAATACAATCAAATACGGCAATCAGTAAATATGCATTTTTAAGAAAGAATTTTATAAAATATTTGAAACATGATTCGCTTATTTGCATTCTTATATTATAGTTCCAGGCAAATTAAGGCTTATAGTGTTTTGCTTTTAGATGATCAATTTTTCGAATATTGAAAAGGTCCTTGAGTAAAATATGGTCATATGCCATTAGCTACAATTATTTTCATACTTTTGTCATCTAATCTTTTAAATCAAATATTAAGCCGATGTTTAGAGCGAATCAGCTCAGTAGTGTTGCGATTTGACTAATTAGAAACATCAAAACAAGCCGATAAAACTACTACGAAATCATCGCGACAATTAACTAGTTTGCTAATAAAAGAAACAATATGATAGAATTAAATTATATATTGTAATACTGGATCAAAATACACATACACCAAATACATCACTAATTCAAACCAGTTCACAATTCTGTTGTGAACCCATACACATACTATCTGATTTTCTGAAATATATTTTCCTGTTGAGGCAATAGTTACTGAAGGCACTCACAAAAGCGATTGCATAGTCGATTCTTCAAGTCCTCTAAATTGAATATCAGTTCATTCTTTATAATCGTATGCTTGGGACCAAGTTGTTTTTGTAACTCCTGCATGGCCATCAAGCAGTCACAGTAGTTTGATATCTTAGGATTTCTACAGAAGAAATCGTCGCATACAATGGGATCGCATTTGTGCTGGGGTGCAGGATACTCTGGCTTGCGACACTTGAGCTGTTCAATATAGCACTTGAATCGATAGTATTCTCGCAGTTGGCGACGTTTATCATCTCGCTTCAATTGAGAAATAAGCGGAGAGTCCCGTTCCGCTTGGCGACGTGTCATGAATTGGCAAATGTCGCACGGGCAACCCGAATCTGATGATTTCTTTTTTTTGTGTGTCTTTTTTATGTGTAACTTCTTTTTCTGCTTTGTTTTGTCTTTAGAGAATGCATCCGATTTATCTTCTATTATATTATTGTCTGATTTGTCATATTCGCCATCTCCACCACCTGAACTTTTGCCATCATCGCCTTGTTGTCTAACCTTACCGCCCGTTTTATCATCTTCTCCACCAATTTTAACTTTTTTATTTCCTCCTTTTCTGCCTTCTGATTTATCCCCCTTTCTATTTCTATTCTTACCGTGTGCCTTTCCATCTGATGTGTCCTTTTTAACACTGGACTTTCGTTCCCCAGTCTTACTCGTCCTTTTGCCTTCATCAGATGATGAGTCTGGAGTAAATGAAATTTTTTGATTGCCATTATCCTTCAGGGAAGCAATGCAGCTGTCATAGTCATTGGTCAATTTCGATTTTGTGTCGTACTCAAAAAATGGAACCAGAGTTGTGTATAGTTCCGAGTAATTCTTTGGCTCTACCGATTTCCCTTTACGTCCTCGTAATTTTCCTGAACCCCTATGTGAGGAGCGTCTCTGTTTACCTTTTCTTGGTAGTAAACCTCCTGCGTCAACACCCGGTGGCACAACAATAGGTTTTGTAACATCGCTCGATCCATGCTCAGACTTTTTTTCTGATTCAGAGCTTCGAAATCTAAAAACATTTGGTCCGAAAGTTACTGTTCCAAAATCTTCTTCTCCAATTCCGAAAACTGATCCGATAGCTCCTGGCCCAAATCCACCAAGCTCGAAATCTGACATTATCTTTTCCTCTTGTTCCCGATTTTTTTCCATTATTAATTCATTCTCTAAGTCTTCAATCTCTTGCTTATACTTCTCTTCATATGATTTTTTATTTCCTTTGTACTTCATCCACTCGAACTGAGTGCATGTATTTTCGGGAATATGACATTGCAGTTCACAGTACTCGTCTTTCCGTCTAAGTTCATGCATAGACTTCGAACGTGGCCGTTCCATGTTAAGTGCTTTTTTTATCGGAAAAGGGGGCTTACTAGGTGCAAAGCGTTCTTCGTCAGTTCGGGGACAGTACACCCATCGCAATGCGCTAATCGCATTGAGGGTTTCCGTAACAGTGGGCATTCTACTAACTTTTGCACTTAGCCCTGGACGATTGAGAACGGCATATCCGGGTGGCTCTATTACATTGTCACTCGAAGCTGGTTTCTCAGGCATTACCTCTGGCTTGGGCGGCTCTGGCGGATTCACCTTTTTAAGACACTTAGAAATTGCCTCGTTAAACATAACCGCCTCCGGTTTATAAATGCCCGTGCCTACACCGTAATAACTCAACGATTCCTTATTTGGACTTTGTCTCCAAACCTCTACAATATCATCCTTCTCCATGTCGAAATGACGCTCACATCCACCTTCTCTAAGGGTATCCATCAAATACTCTGCTGTTAAGGCAGGATAGCATTGGGACACGGGGGGTCTAATAGACGGATAAATCTCATTATCGCGATAGTCAGCCGGCATGCAGTTAAGCATTCTCATCAGATCGTATGGGGTAAGCTTGCTATAGTCAAGGTTTGTCTTTTGTTGTTTTATTTGACTGCAAACATATTTATTCGATGGGCGGGGCATATCAACTCTCTTTTGAGCGACAACATTCTCTACTGGTGCAGCATTGGTACTGGAATATAGTTTTGGGTCAGCCACATTGGACATCCACTTATCAGAGACGGGAGGACACCGAGACACTGCGGGCCTAATGCTGGGATAGATTTCCCCTTGTCTAAACGTATATGCCTTGCAGTTCTGCAAACGCAAATCGTCGCATGCAGTAACATTCGCTGCATTCCTATCAAATGTTCCATTTTGGTTGGACATTGCTATAAAATTCTGTCTTTTATAAAATTTGTTTTTTTTTTAAGTCTTGGAAATTTGTTAAATGTTACAATAATTATGCAAAACTACAATTTTTGTCAAGATTATACAATAAAATTTTGTTAGTTTCACATTCAAAACAATTTAGATAGTAAAATATATACAGCTTGACGAAGAAATCTTGTAAATATATAAACTATCAAAGTAGGTGAAAAAGGCAAATTTAAATGTCTGTGCTTGCTCAAATTCTTAAAAAAGAATTTATTTAAAATATTTTCTGATATTGATAACATCTATTTATAATGAAGAGGAGAGCCACAGACTCTTGTATATAGTAATTTTGTATATTCCAAAAAATATATATTGCAGTAGTGTTTCGATTTAACAGTATGTAAATATTTTTTAAGGCGACTGTCTAAAGTGAACTAGAGTTATTAGCACATGAGTGCAGCTGTGATTGCGTCGATTCCAGGATTTATAAGAGTTAGACACTTGCAATTCATCAATAGGTTCTCATATAACGCAGATTGAGTCTGCTTCAAATTAATAGTTTCAATTAAAAACCTTACTGAAGTTCCTTTGGATCTCTAGGGTCCGAATTTTGCATTCATATATTCCATATAATAATCTACCATCTCCCACTTTCACACCCCATTTTTGCTCCGTTATTCATTGTCAAAAAAAAAAAAAGAAGATTTTTAGATATTTGCAGAATTAATAAAGTCATTGTTATATGAAACAAAAAATTACAGATCGGTCGATATTGAGGATAATATTTTTGTGTTGCATTGTCGTTTCATTCTCTAAATATTGTATATCCCTTCTCTTCGAATGATTTTTATTTTGTTGGTATTTTGCGCTGAGAGTATAAATTTGTAGGAATATCACATTACAGATCGTTTTTTTCGTTTTAGCACACACATGGATTTCGTTGGTGACCGTTCCATGTTAAGAGCTTTATTGATCGGAAAATGGGGTTTACTAGGGGCAAAAGGCTCGTCGTTATTACGACGACAGAACACCCATCGCAATGCACCAACCGCATTTACGGCCTCATGAACTGTGGGCATTCTACGAGCTTGTATATTAAGCATTGGGCGATTCAGAATAGCATGTCCTGGTGGTTCCATTGGTTTGTGACTCGGAGGTGGATCTTGAGGCACCTTCTTTGGTTTGGGCGGTTCTAGATTGACCATTTTAAGACATTTACAAATTGCCTGGTTATACATAACCGCCTCCGGTTTATAAATGCCCGTGCCCACACCGTAGTAGCCTAGTGATTCCTTATTTGGGCTTCTTCTCCAGACCTCCACAATATCATCCTTTTCCATGTCGAAATGGTGCTCACATCCACCATCTCTAACTGCTTCGGTCAAGTACTTTTCTGTTAAAGCAGGACAGCACTGGGATACCGGAGGTCTAATAGACGGATAAATCCCGTCATCACGATAGTCAGCCGGCTTGCAATTAAGCATTCGCATCAGATCGTATGGGGTAAGCTTGCTATAGTCAAGRTTTCTCTTTTGYAGCTTTATTTGACTGCAGACGTATTTATTYGATGGGCGGGGCATGTCAACTCTTTTTTGAGTGACCACATTCTCTACTGGTGCGGCTTTTTTGTTGGAGTACAGTTTGGGGTCGAATGGCKTACAGCCTGTATTTTCAGCCACGTTGGCTATCCACTTTTCTGAGAATGCGGGACGACACCGAGACATCGGGGGCCTTATGCTGGGATACATTTCCCCTTGTCTAAACGTATAGGACTTGCAGTTCTGCAAGCGCATAGCATCGTATGCAGTAGCATTAGCTGTATCCCTATCTAGTATTCCATGCTTTTTGGACATCTTCCTTAATAAAATATGTCAAATTATAAAATCTGAAAAATTTATTAACGTTAATAAGCCAACATTTTAAAATTTGGTATCACATTCAAAACAGTTTAGATAGTAAAATAATTACTACCTGACGAGAATCCTTGGAAATAAGAACGATCAAAGTAGACTGTGAATAAAAGAAATTGAAATGGCGTTGCCTGTTGCATTTTTTACAAACCTAACAGTCCTAAAGATTTTAAAATAACTAAAATATTCTTCCATTTTATCAAACATCCATTTGTATACTCAAATGAAATGAATCTGTTCATCTGATTGACGGTTCACCCATTTCGCCGCTTTTCATGCTAGGTACTTGAATATTTGTAGAGACACTCTTTTGTACTTGATACGCCCCACTTCTTTGTGTAAGTGTGTACTATATAAGCAGTAGGTAAAGGAAAAAATCACAGTTCATATGTTAGAATCAAAAACATATATTGTAACAATTGATTACAATAATCTTACACCTAATGAATCACTAAGTCACATCAGCTCGCAATTATTTTGCGTACACGTACACAGTCACATATCTATATAATCTGATAATACATTTTTTTTTCTTAAGTTACGAAAGACAGTCACATAGGCGCTTGCATAGGCGACTCCTTAAATCCCTTAAGTTGAATATCAATTCATTCTTCATATTGCGATGCTTGGGACCAAGTTGTTTTTGTAGCTCCTGCATGGCCTTTAAGCAGTCACAATATTTCGATATTCTAGGATTTTTACAGAAGAAATCATCGCAAACAATGGGATCGCATTTGTGCTGGGGTGCAGGATACTCTGGTCGGCGACACTTGAGCTGTTCGCGATGGCACCGCATTCGGTAGTATTCCCGCAGCTGTCGTCGCTTCTCTTCTCGCTTCAATTGAGAAATAAACGGAGTGTCCGGCTCCGTTTGGCGACGTTTCATAAATTTGCAAATTTCACATGGGCAATCCTTCATTGGTTTTTTACAGTGATCCACAACTGGTGGTTTACTTTTGGGTGTCTTAGATTTGCGCTGTTGTCTTTTGTTCTCTTGATCTATTACCTTCTTTTTCTTTTTTGTTTTGCCTTTGACGGATGTAACAGAAATGGTAGAAACTTTATTGTCGAGTATAGGTTGAGGAATGCCGTGATCATCCTCGCTTGATTTACCCTTTTTCCCTGTGTTTTTAGCTTTTTCTAGTTTGTTGTTTTTACCAGTATTTTTATCTTCATTTTTATCGCCTTTTTTCCATTTTTTTCCGGCGTCAGTTTCTGAGCTTTGACCCTCCTTTCCATCCTTAACTGGCTTTTTACTATGTTTCTTCACATTTTTCTTATTTTCTATATCACCTTCTGATTTTCCGAAAGTTTCTTTTCCGTGTTCGGTTTCTTCCTTCTCCTTATTGAAAAGGTTCTTGTCTCTGCTAGACTTTTCGTCGGCTGAACTTGTTCCTCCTTTTTTCTCCTTCTCTGGTTTGTCAAGATCCATACTATCGTCCTTTATGGGAGGAAATTCTATTTGATCACCACCAGGTTGTCCCGATGGTCCCCGAGGACTGCCGCCTTCATCGCCCGTTTTATCGCTCTTCGGCTTACAGCAAGTGTTATAAAGCTCACACAATGAGTCTTTCTTACTGTAGTTCTCAAAGCACGTTATAAGATGTTCGAACAGCTCATCGTAGTCTTTCGGCTCAGGAATTTGCTGAGCCTCCCGCTGCTGCATCTCGATCTCGAAAGCTTTCTCAATTGCCTTCGGGTCTTGTTTGTACTTCGTCCACTCATAATCTGTGCATACATTCTGGGGAATACCACATTTCAGATCGCAGTATTTGTATCTTCTCCTTAGTCCATATTTTTGCTTTGTCACCGGTCTATCCATATCAAGGGCAGTGGCCAAACTAATTCTGGGCTCGCTGCTAGCAAACGGATATTGTGCATGAATTGGAAGTGGGCAATGCAGTACGCTGAATGCCTCGCTTGCATTGATCTTTCTCTGCACAGTGGGCATGCCTTTGATTTTTTCCTGTAGTAACTCGCGATTTAGAACAAAGGGTCTACAATCTTCCCTGGGTAGCGTAAGATTGGCTGGCTTAAGTCTGCCAGGGTTCATTGTTGGCTTCTTAACACTCGTTGCCTTTCGCATTGCTCGCGCTAACGCCTTTTGGAACTGTAATGCCTCCTTTTCGGGTTGGCCTGAGCTGACCCCGTAGTAGCTCAGATTCTGTTTATCGAGGCTTTTGTTCCAGACCTCGATGACATCGTCTTGCTCCATGTCAAAGTAGCGACCGCAGCCGAAATCTTCAGCCTCGTTGTATAACCAATCCACTGTCTGCGCATCATCGCACTTGGATACTGCAGGTCTGATGTTGGGATAGCTTTCGGACTTTACAAAATTGAACGTCTTGCAGTTATTCCTGCGTATCACCTCGTAGGGAGTTAGCTGCTGGGCTGGAGATAGTTGGATCTCTGAATGAGGCTTTCCTGTGTGATCTACATTGGCACTTGTTGATCTCGAATCAATATTTTGAACCGGAGAATTTTGTTGGTTACGCATTTTGGTTTAGCTGTACCTGATGGACATAGGACTAAATAAAATTTATCTTTTTTTTTTAATTTCTTTTACAAAATTTTGTCTGTTTGACCAACCAAAGTTGTCAAAAACTTACTGAAACTGTAACGAAATTTACCGAAAAAGTCGACATAATAAATTCGATTCGAGAGTGTTTTGACTAAGGCAACCTTTTCTTGGCTAGTCACCAAATGAGGGCTGTTAAATATTTTAATAGCTAGCCTGTGCCAAAAAGGATTAGCCAAAATCAGCAAGGACAGGCCCAGGCTCAGCTGAGCAGAGCTTTAAGAGCAGCGTGTGAAACAATTAAGATAATCACCGTAGTCATTTCCGTTTTACGCTTCCTACGTAGCCCGTAAAATTTCCTGGCAAAGCCGAAACTCCACCAGCTGAACTTGTGTGTGTGTACGTCTCCCTCTCTATACCTTTCTCCCTCTTTTTCTCGCACTCACTCGAAACCTGTTACATTATTCACGAAGACAAATTTGCCCGATTTAGTTTTTAGTTAAAAGCAAATTATGGCGCTCTAATGACGGCGCAGTTAAGCTGACGGACGCTGACGGCAGTTTTCAATGACATTTTATGGGCTGGCCTGGCGCCAGGGGAACACTTACCAAGCCCAGATTAAAGAGAATGAGGCTTTAATTGCCATGGCCTGCTCTTTGATGGCCATTGAGCAGCGCTCCATCGTGGCCTTCATGATGATGTGTCAATCGTCCTGCGTCCTGCTAATGTTTAAAGTGTCCCGCCAATGGACTGAGGTCTTTGTGCACACTGGCGGGCTGCTGGCAGGGCTAAGCATGTTCTTGGCCAACAAAGGTCAGCTTTTAAACCGTTTTTCACCTGTTCTGTGCTCTGGCGCTTGGCATGTGATTGGGCTACGCTCGAGCAGCCTGTAATCGGCTTTGACGGCTCTGCCAATGCCTGTGTATCACAGTGTCAGGATGCTGATGCCATCCAGCTAGTTGGCTGCCAAACTCAATCCCAAACTCAAACTCAAACTCGATCCCATCGCTCGTTGGCTTAACATGGGTCAAGGTCAAGTTCAAGCAATAAACTGTCAGCTCGGCTGATAAACATGGTTTGAGTTGGCCAAAAATTGGTCAACTTTGCGAATTGAATTACGTTTTGTTTGTTGTCAATTGGGAAACTTTCTTGCTTTTGTTTTTAGCAGATGCAGTTTTTATGGTATGTCGAATGAGAATAATGACTCGAGAATATTTTTTATGGCAGACTTTTACTTAAATAAATATGATTATTAAATTATAAATGTTTAGTCAGAGTTGGTGTAATATTGTATGGGATTCTTTTCATATAGGTAGTACATCTGGTTCTTACATACTAACTTTTAACTTTTTAATAAAACTACAGTTAGTAAGTATATCTTTAGGCATACTTAATGAATTTTGAATAGAGTAAATAAGTCATTAAATATATATATAAGCCTTGAACATAAGCCAAACACTTGCATAGATGTCAAATTGTAAACTTGTGTATACAGCTAAATTACAGACTTATTCAATTGACAATTCAATATGTTCTCAGAGTTATTTATTATGGTTTAATGTTGTCTTAGTGCGAATATTATTTTATGCACCGCTTTGCACATTAATCATTGCCAAGCAGTCTGTTGCTAGCATTAGAATAAGCACACATACATATGTACATATGTACGAGTATATCAGAAGGCTATTGATAATATTTGCTGAGCATGGCGCCATATCGTGATCATGTACATATATCTAAATGCTCATCATAAATAAACAGTGTGTGCACAGAGACACAAATATGAATATCCACACAGCACAGAATGTGCACCAGTGGTATTTTGTCCATAGTTATCCAGCAGTTTGTCAAATGTCTTAGAGTCGACAGCGCTACGGGTGGCATCACAGACACACACAGAGAGAGAGAGAGAGAGAGAGAGAGAGAGAGAGAGAGAGAGAGAGCTTCACTTACTGTAAATATAAAGGCATGACTTGCCCCAAAGTTAATGCCAAATTCAAGCTTCAGTTGCCTTCCGCAGCTGCTGGCATGTGTGTGTATGCGTTGGTGTATGTAGCATGCATTTTAGAGGACACTGATAATCCTGGAGCTGATTTTGGATTTGTCATTAAACGCCCAGCGGGATGACAACAATGAAGTCCACAGCAGATAAGGCACTGCCCAAGCTCTGACATTGCCATAGCAACCGCCACTCGGGCGATGCAACCGCCACTCAGGCTGTATAGAGCCGTTGACGGCGGAAGACGGGTACCGGGTAACGGGTAACGGGAAACAGAGAACGGGGATAACTGCTAAACTGACAACAAAGCCAAAACTAATGCCGTTCGCCATGTCTCGCCAAACAGTCGCTTCTCCTTGTCACAATCTCCCCTCTTTCTCTTAATCAATGTCGCCATCTCTCCCGTTCTCTCTCTCTCTCTCACTCTCTTTATATTTAAGTTTTGCAGAACATGTTGCGTGATTATCTAACTATCGGGCTGATTTACATTTAACCCAGTTGAGTAAGCAAAAATACCCTAGCAGAGGGCAATATAATGTTGTCAGGGAGCAAGGGTATCCTATCAAATTCATATCTTTATTAGATGATAATAAAGTCTGTTATTGTCTTTACTAGCTGTTAATAAAGTCTGTCATGACTCGAAGTTTGTTGCCAAATAGCTGCAACTTATTTATAAGACAATTCAATTTCTTAAATTTCAATTTGTCTTAAATTAATTGTTATTCTTATTTAAGAACATAAACTGAAATTTAATATATTGAATTATTCTTCTAAAATTCTCAAAAATTATACTAAGAAAGTAACGAAATATGATCCGATCTAAATATGCCCAAATTTTTCAGAATTTAGTTTGCCTTCAACAAAAATGCGATTTGTCTGAATGAAAGCCTTTTTATCTTAGTTGAAAATAAATTTAAATCCAAAAACCTTTTAAAGACTATATGTAACAAAAGAAATAAATAAATTGATAAAAAAAAAAAAAAAAAAGCTTTTGGTTTTACAAAAATCGATTAATGAAACTAATGAAAATTGAGCAAAGTCCAGCTCGCATTTGATTTAGCCAGCAGAAGCAAAGTGCATGTCACATTCGACTATGGCCAAAAGAGACTTCTGCTTTCTTGGCATTTTCTATGCGGTCTGTGCTCCGGCTCCTGTGTTAGCTGGGTTGATTTGCTGGGTGTGTCCATTGTGGCGCATTGTAGTCCGCACCTCCCGTAAATCCATTTTGTGATATTTAATTGAAATATGGTGCCCTGGAGTAGTCCGGCTGCCAGTTGAGTATCTGGTTGTCTGGCTATTCGTTTGCCCAGTTATTTGCGATTTACGAGGCGGCCCAATGAGTTTTCTGCGCGCACTCAGTGGATTAGGGCTTGGGCAATGGCTTCGATTTACGAGTAGTTGTAACGAGTTGCTGCGACTCAAAGAGCACCATTTTGGCCATGGTTTATGCTAGGTAATTAATAATACCCGGTTTCTGTTTCGGATTTCTTTATTTGCAGGACGCCAAGTTGCGGCAGATTGTGACGATGGGGCCACAGGACACACTCGAGGAGAAGACCGTCACCATTTGCCATGGCTCCGATTTTGTCAACATGACATTTGTCAACTTCTGCTGCACACGACGGGACATTGCCCAGGTAAGAAGCAACAAGCAAAGGGGTGAATTGTACCGGCAGCAGGAGGGGGGCTGCTGTCATTCCTCTGCTGGCAAAGCTCCAATGCCAACAGCTGCTCATTATGGCCAATTGACAACTTGACGACAATTGAAATGCGAGCATTGAGGGCCCATCAAAAGCTATTTGGGAGCGTAAAACTGGGTCATCCACACACACACACACACACACACCTCATTCATACACATTCTTGCACACACACCTTGAAACTCATTTGGGAATTGTGAAATGGGTCGTAAGCGCGAAACTGAATAAGCAGACATATACGAGTATTCCAAATTTCCATATCGTTCGCAATTTGAGACAGTTCCGTATAGCAATATATTCTGAAATATATTATTTAACAAATTCATTATCTTTATAGGCTTTTTTCATGGCTTTTTTGGTTTTATCATAAACTAATTTTTATGTTTCTGTGAAATTTTTAGACTAAAATTTCGGGTTTTCTTTGTAATTTAACTAATGATTTATATATAATAATAATTTAAAATGATAATGATTTACATACAATAATATATTATTTTAGCTAAATTTTCTGTGAGATTACATTTTGTGCCTTTGCACAAGATATTTATCGCATTTGTTTGTAGCTTATAAATCGCGATATTTATAGTCAAACTTTACTTTGCATTCAATCTAACCTTTATAGCCGCTGCTTAGTCTAGGGACTTTTTGGATAGTATTTATAAGTGTTACGGATATGTAGTTCAATAGTCCATCTACCCTACCTATACATGAGACTAACTACTCTATATCCAGCCTATCTATTAAAAACTCTGCCCTAATAACTCTATAAAGCGAATTGTCTACAATACACGGAATTTGGAACAGACTCGTAACATGCACTTCAGTTCAGAAAACTGCGTCTATCCACACACATACACACCCACACACACACACACACACACACTCACCCACACACTCCTTCTTACTCACACACATACACATTGTTGGAGTCATTAGGATACATTGGGGCACACCTGGCGCCAGTTGTTGTGGGGCTATTTTTAACCGTTTGCCGACTGCGCGTAAAAATATAAGTGACTGTCGAACACATTTTATTGATTTAGCATAGGGGGCTGGTGGGCCACGCCTTTTCTATGTCTGACTGGACACAAAACCGAATACGCTTCAAAATCATATCGCTCGTATGGGAATACAAAGTAACCCAGCCACGCCCCCCTCCCCCTATGCCTCTGGCGCGCCTTGCGCATAGAGGTGACCTTGCTCTTGCTGGAGCTGACAGCGTTGTGTTTGGTTTTTGGTCAAAATCAATGTTCTATATTTTATCACGGGCTCGTCTATCCGGGGCGCAGCCAGAGCCGGACACGGACACGGACACGAACGTCGGTGCTGAGCAGCATGGCATGTGCGTGCATGCATGTTATTGTTATTATTTTTGGCACGCGTCGC